AGCTGATTTTGGCTCCAACCTGGCTGGTTCGAAGCAGCGGTGTCTGCAACGCTCCTAGGTTCAACTTCGGCAGGACTGGGACTTAGTTCCTTAGCAGGATCACCGGAGGAAGTAGAGTGGGAATGACCGTAATGGTAGACCAGACCAGGTCTGGTTTTATACCGTGCGCTGCATACTGCAAAAGTGCAAATACTGTTTTTTTCCCACAAACCATCCAATGCAACGTCCATGATGAGAGAAATCTTGGTTTAGACGAGTTGGTTGGACGATTGGGAGGATGTAGCCGTCTAACCGCCATGTTTGAACTAATGTTCCATATAGTATATTATTAGACTGCGGATCTTTATGCGTTCTATCGCCTCTAATGATTATGAAAACGAAGTCGAGTTGTTTGGAGGAGTTTTGTTGTTATTTTGCAAGCTTTGCGTAAAAATCCATAATCTAGATAGTATGTTATATGGGAAAATGGATTGATTGTCCCCGTATGACGAGAACCAACTTCTACTGGATCTACTTTGGAGAACATGGCGGTTAAAGGATTCCAGGAAAGAAGCTTACAGGTCAAGGATAGCATTTGCACACCTTCCGTACCAGTACATATCCCTATCCACCTACGAATCTATATGTGGACAAGCAGTGAAGGAGTTCCAGCCCAAGAAGCAAAACTAATACGATGCAAGGCTTGATGCTTGTATACTCCTACAGAATGAGCTCGCTACAGTGTGAGCCAGTACATTCTTGCTCTGTTATTGGCAGGTAGTATGAGTCCGAAGATATTTGGCCGATCCTGTAAGCTCGATCGTCGTGAATCAATGACAGATACGAGTATTGGTGCTTAGCATCGAGGCTTACCGGTCGTGACCAAATGTCTTTAGATTTTCTGCTAATCTAACAGGAGTGGTTTCAAGAAGTAAACAGATTGCAGGCACATTCGAGTTAATTCATAGACTTCGCGTCTGGAAAAGTTCGATCAAATTAGTAGTGACTATTATACTCCTTCAAGGTCTCAGCAAACGCGACCCTATCTATTTCTAAAGACTAGAATTTTCTCTATTGTAAGTGAACTACTGCACAACAGACACAAGGAAGATAGCTTTCTCAGATGTACAATAAATCAACTAATGAAAGTACAGTAACGACAATTTCATCCGTTCAAGAATGTAGTTGTCTGTATGCGAAATGATACGATATATAGTACCTTTGAGCAATCGAAAAATTGGAAAAATGACGTGTACCATTTTATACAGCTTGAGTAGTGTTTAAACGCACCGCATACTTTATTTTTCTGCGCAAGTATTGAGATCATTGTATACGGGTATAATAAAACTTATCCTTTCATTCAGAACCATGTCATATCTTCATACTTCGATAAATAGGAAAAGAGAAATGGAGTACAAGGTTTCATACAAACACAAAGTATATGACAAAGATTGGAGTATCCTATGATGTACTGCAATTCATAAACTTGAAGGAAAACAGCAGTCAATACGGTACTGATCAATCTTACTGAGCAAAGAGTATTAAGTCAATGTGAGATTACTGTAAGTCTAAAAAGGGCACCTCTCCACGTTATAAAGTTCATTATAAAGTTCAATCACCATCCCCAAAGTGTAAAATTATGCGGTAACCAAGACTAGAGTCTTCAATAATTTATTTCGAGCTTCCATATTATTATTTATATCATAAAGTAACCTTTGCGTATCTCATGAAATAATACGTAGGCATCATAAAAATATAGTTATTTAATAAAATTAACAAATCTTCTAACGCAATGCACTTGTTCACTTATTCAAAATAACAACTGATAGAACTAATAATAATAATCATAATGAAACTAGTAACAGGAAGTGGTCATTTGTAGTTGTATCTATGGTTAAACTTACGGTCACAAACGAATGGCTTATCAGTGTCAACAGCATCATAGTTGGTCTTTTTGCGCCCACGTCCCCCACCCTATTTAATAAAAGTTTATGATATATTTTAGTATCTGGTATGAAAAGTACATATAAAAAAGAAAAAACTAAACCAAAAAAATATAATTATATATTAAGTCAATTGTTTCATATTGATTCTTAATTTATACGATAACCATTTTGCTGAAGTACATTGAATATGAGAACAAAATAGATTAATTACTTACCTTTGTACGTTTGGTCCCTGGACTGTCTGTGGAAGGTGGATGATTCCTTGCAGGATGATGTCCACCACCACGAGGTTTTCTTCGTTTCCTTTTACTACTGTAACTTTCTTCATAATCATAATCACTTTCAGGATCAGGTTCCTCATATGTGTCCATGTCTAGCATATCCTGCTCATCATAGTACCAAGCTTCTTTACTATGTTCCTCTGTAACAAATGATTAATGCATTTATTTTCATTACATTTAAACATAGTGTACATAACTTCCTTACATTAAATATAGATATATATTATACAAACAATGAATGTATTCACCTTTAAGAGCAACCGATTCTTTACTATCGTCATTTACATGAGTTACAGTTTCTACTTCTACACCATCTTCTGGATCTCCTCTTGGACCTCTTTTTGGATGCAAATAATGCATTAAATACTGACGTCTTTTTTTTCTCCATCTTTTACTTGGATATGTATATATTTGACCGTGCAATAAACCTGGCAGTCTTTCTCTTGAGGACATAAACAATGCAGAATGATTTTGTGCTACACCTGCAATCCCACAATAACTTGTGTTATCAAATGTAAATCAGAAAATTTAATTCATTTTTAATAAATAAAACATTGCTTCCCAACCATATAAAAGATTAATTCATTTTATCGTTTCTTGATACATAAATAACAAGCTAATCAGCTAAAGAGGTTATGAATTATCCTATAAACCGAAAAGCTATGCTGACTCCACTCAACAGACACAATCGAAGTTACAAGAACAGTATGTAACATCATAATGACTGGATCGCTATAAAACTGCTGTACAGAAGTCACAATAAGAGATACCTGTCTGTGAATCGAGAAAAGGCATACGTAGCCGACGCTCCCTGCATAATCGGCTATTATAATTCGAAGCATTTTCAATGGATTCCCTGTACGCGGTGTCATTCAGGTAGCTGTAAAAAATCGATAGCAGCCATGTAGATACTCCAAACCTATTAGGTAAAAATTCGCGAAGTATTCATCATTTAACACCTACCTTTCAATTTTACATAAATTACTTTCGTTTACAACTTGAATAAGTCCATGGGTAGCCGGTGAAATCGTAATGGCTGTCATTTTATAACAACCAAACAATGCCTTACCAGCTCCAGTACCCGACGCTTGCTCTTCTTCCCGGAAAAGGAGCTCGGTAAAACGACGCATGCGCATTTCATCAAACAACATATGCCCGGGAACGCGACTAAATGTAACTCCTTTCAGTATTCCGTTAAATGAAACAACGAGAAAGAATATTTGTTTACGATTAATCACAAATTCACTGAAATATTACGCGCACCAGTGGAAATTTTGATAACGTTACGTTGTTTAATACCGTTACACGAGAAGCCTTGAAACGGAGGAGTCGACCTTCCTTTATGCTAGTCAGACGAGACCTCGTCTCTGATGCTAGTGATTCTCGACAGCGTCCCCCCACTACTGCTGCTCAAGGAGCTCTCTAAGACTGTGTATGTGAGTAGTTCTACGTGTATTCAATACAGCAGGTAAAAGTACCAGGTATGAGAAGTGAAAGAGCTTGCGAGCTCCCAGTTACTTAGCACCTTTGTTCTCAGGCAGGGGTGTGCAACTGGGAGCTCGCAAGCTCCATAGCGACGTTTCCTGCACGGAGAGTTACCCTCTCCATACCTACTTTTACCTGTTGTATTGAACATGCATAAAACGCTCACATATACAATCTCGGGCAGCTCCTTGAGCAGAGGTAGTGGGGAACGCTGCTTTCGAGTTACTAGCTTGAGGGGAGTAAGTTCGACACTCCACCCCTAGAATATAAAATCATACAAAGGCATTGACATTTGCGCAAGCGCAAAAATTCATGCTTGATTACTTTATGATGATTAAACACTAGTTACAATACAATTTCTTTTTAAATTAATTTATTCGCTCGCAAAGAATAACTATTTACTTGACTAATAAAGTACTGGGACACGTATATATTAACACGTTGACCGCCACATGAATTTTAGTTTTGTATAACGTTAGTTATTCTTTTGTAACAAAAGCAAGTAGCATTAGAATTAATTATTAATGATCTGATATGGTAGATCTCAAGTTAAACTATTATTCAGTTACTTCTTTTCATAATTGTTTTTGAGCAATTCGGAAAAGCTTCGGTCGTCAGTGATCAACGTGGGATTTAATTTGTCAATTTACAGATTTAAGATGAATTAAACACAATTGCAATCGAACATGCTGCTTTATTGTAACGGTTGCTACAAGAGATTTAAAAGGCAGAAATTTTCTGTTAGCTTGGGGATCAGATATAATTTACTGTAACAATTTATTCTGAAAGGACATTAAAATGCAGCTACTGCAATATGCAAATTGACAGTGTCTGCAGTAAGTCATGGAGCACAGCCATTGTGATAAACATTTCATGTTACAATGTACACTCGATGTTTCTGTCACAAAGACGGATATAATCAAATGTCATCCGTAGCCTCTAAATAATTTATCGTCAATGACTCCCTGATGTAGTAAATAAGTCCTTTAGAAAGAAATGCTTAAAGAGGAAATGCAAAATGTATTGTATTATCTCTACATTTATCTTTTTTATATATCACTATTGTGGAACAGAACATGTCAATATAAATGCATAACTTTCTTTTTAGATTGTGTATTAACTTGATCAGCAAGGAACTGTGGAAAATATTTTATAAAAAAGTTAACCTATATATTTAGGATTTCCTTAGAAACAGGATACCCATAGCCTGGTATTACTATTCAAATAGCTTCTGTGCATTATCCTAATTTATCGTCAAAATGTTACTTCTAGTTCTATTGGTTTTGTATTACAACCGATATTGTTGGAAATTAGCCTATAAATAAATAAATAATTTGTTCATCCATGAAGCTCGCTTAAAATTTTTCCTCGCAATTTTGAACCTTTCGTTCTTTAAACAATTTGAATTTTTCGATTAAAGTATTCACCGCAACCTCCCCATGTACCACGTTGTCTCTGGTTCTAACGTTTACCGTACTAGCTTTAAGTTCCTTTTCCCCAACAACTGAAAACACATTGTAAAAATTAAATATTCTGCTATTTATTACTGAACATATAAAATATATCTGTTTTCTTACCAAGAATGAAATTAAATTGTGCAAGCTGAGCGTTCCGCACTTTTCTATTCAGAGTATCGCTTGCATCAGTATCAACTTCCGCCATAAATCCAGCATCCCATAGTTTATCTTTCACTTGGAAAGCATATTCATCGAATTGGGAACTTACTGGAATGACCATTGCTTGTCGCGGGGACAACCAGAACGGCCACTTTCCAGCGTAAGATTCGGTTAGAATTGCAATCATTCTTTCTACGGAACCCAGAATAGCTCTGTGAATGATTACTGGCCTTGTCTTCTCTCCGGCCTCACTAAAGTTTTGAAACATTTAATCATTAGTTTCAATTACAGTTGACTTGGAAACAATAAAGTAATTAGTTGTTCTTCTCTTACTTAACATAAGACAAATTAAATCTAATTGGTAATTGGAAGTCCAATTGAATAGTAGCACACTGATGATGTCTCTTCAAAGCATCCATAATTGTTATATCAATCTTTGGACCATAGAACGCACCATCTTCTGGGTTTATTTTCCATGGTTCCCCGAACATGTTTAAACTTTCTTCCAATGCTTTTTCGGCTTCATTCCACATCTCAATGTCTCCCATATATTTCTCAGGTCTTGTGGATAAACACAAGTTAAATGTAAAACCAAAAACGGAATACACATAACGCAAGAAGTCTAACGCGGCAATCATTTCATCTTTAATTTGATCTACCGAACAGAATATATGTGCATCGTCCTGTTGAAAACGTCTGACTCTGGTAAGTCCAGTCAGTGCTCCGGACATTTCGTTCCTATGTAATACTCCAAAGTCAGCCATTCTTAATGGTAATTCACGCCAAGATCTACTACGAACGTCAAAAATCAGACAATGACCAGGACAATTCATAGGTTTAAGCGCAAAAGTTTCTTTCTCGACATCGAAAGAAAACATGTTTTCTGCATAGTGCATCCAGTGGCCAGAGGTTTGCCATAACTTACTGTTATAAATATTAGGAGTGACCACTTCTTGAAAACCTCTTTTTCTATATTCAGAGCGAATAAATTCTATTAAAGTGTTATAAACATGCGCGCCGCGCGGTTGAAAGAAACATGACCCCGGAGAAAGTTCATGGAAGAAAAAGAGCTCTTGTTCTCTTCCTACTTTTCTGTGATCTCGTTTAGCAGCTTCTTCTTGAAACTTTTCCCATTCTTTCAATTGCTTGGTATCTGGAAAACTGATACCGTAAAGTCTTTGCAGGGATTCTGCATTAGCATTTCCTTCCCAAAAAGTGGAAGAATTTTTGGTGACTTTAATAGCTTTCACCTTTCCAGTATGTCTAATGTGAGGTCCTCTACATAAATCTATCAATGGTCCACACCTGTACACAGTGGTGGTAGGCGTAGCTACTTTTTCATTAATAATACGAACTTTAAATTCATTATATTTAAACATCTCCAGAAGATCTTCTTTCTTCATTTCTAGTCTTTCGAAAGGTTGCTTTTCTTTAACTATAGTTTTATACAGAGTTTCCAAGTATGGAAAGTCTAGATTTGATATAGTTTTGTCACCTAGATACATATCATAATAAAATCCATTTTCAATTGGTGGACCATAGCATAAACAACCACCGTATACTCTTTCCATAGCTTCTCCCAGAATGTGTGCACTAGAATGCCAAAAGACTTGTTGGCCATCATGACTATCAAATTTAAGAAGTTCAAGTTTGCAATCACACTCCAGGGGTCTATCCAAATCCCATAGTTCATTATTGACTTTGGCAATAACAACACTATCAGCCAAACCTTGACTAATACTCCTTGCTACTTCATACGGCGTTGTACGCCAAGATTGTCCAACAACTTCTTTCCCATCAGGAAGAGTTACTTTTATTTCAGCAACCGGCTTTGTAGCTAATTCTGCTTCGTAATCTGTTTTCAATTTATCCCATAATGCTATGCGTTCCTACATATATATGTTACAGTTTAGATAAACATGTTTTTACGTTAATCGCTTACTTATTCATGTATTACTTATTATAAACGAAAATGACATTATATACCTGAATATAATTCGGCCAAGGCTTTAATTCCGAAATTGTTTTCTCATCGGTAGCGGCATTCTTTTTTTTTAATGCCTTCATTTTTGCCTAATTTTCAATAAACAGAAAAATATATTAAATTTTGTTAAAAAAAGTTTCATTAATATTTCATGTGTTTTTAAAACGCGAAGTAATATATCAAGAAAAATAATGGCATTTATTACAAGGAAAATGTTCGTATTACATCAGATTATTGATTCCGTTGGTGTGGTAAGGTTATTCTTATAAGAATAAGAATTTATTATATTGTCTCACAGTTAAATATTTTTAATGAACAAATCACAACAAAACACTTGCAATATAATATTATGAAAAAAAACATCAGTGTGACGAGATACTATATAACGAACCCAAGAAACATGTGGTCTCACAGAAACATTATACAAATTTCTTGTATTATACAAGTTGCGAATGTATAATTTCATCATCGTATTTTAATACTAAAAATAAAAAGAATGAAAAGTTTTTTACGAATAAATCACATTCATGCCTTTTCTTCCTTTAAATTCAGATTTTGCACGTTATTCACCACGTCGTCACTCATAATGTCAACCATATTGAACCTAGAATTTACTTCTAGATAGTGCCATACTGTAATGCGTACCTACTATAGCACTTATCTATAGTGCAAATCTTAAGAACACAGATTATTAATGAATAAGGTATAGTGATTTGTAATGAAAATGCAAGAATTTTTTAATGTTTTTATCATTTATTGATTTCTTTTATTAAAAAAATAATAATCTCTTAAAAAAATATTTAAGAAAGGCATTATTAAAGTTACATTATAGTGTTCATTATGTATGAAAGGGTGTAAAACCAAAACACACAGAGTACTTTCTTCTATAGATGGAATTGTTAATGTGAAAAAGATTTAATATCAATTATTAATGTAATAGGAAAAATAGAACTTCTGATCTATTTAGTTGTACACCCTGCATAATGCAAAATTTATAATGTTTTCCATTCATAAATATGTTTCACCATTTATCTTTTAAAACTTCAAATAATTAACATATGTTTTCTTCTTAAAAATGTATACGCTCATGACGAATAATGTGACTTCTGTGATGGAATCTTTTCCCACAAGCAGGACAAACATATGGTCTCTCATCCGTATGAATTCTGTTATGTATTTTTAAATCGTATTTTTTGAAAAATGATTTACCACAGTGGGAACACACATGATTTCTCTGTTTCAGATGATCACGTTTTACATGTTCCTATAGTAAGAATATGTTTAAGTAAAGATTTAATAATACGTTTAAAAAAAATACTTACATTTACTTGTGAAGAAGTATTATAAATTTTTTGGCACATATCGCACGCAAACTTTTGCGGACCTTCTGGTCTATGATTACTAGCGATATGTTTATTTAATGTTGACTTCCAAGCAAAAGACATTTTGCATTCTTTACAATGAAACTTTTGTTGATCTGCAAAATGTGTACCTATGTGTTGTTTATAGTTGTAACTAGTTGAAAATGATTTCTCACATACTGTGCATTGAAATTTTAATAAATACACTTTTGATTTCTTTGAGTCTTCTTGAAGATTCTCTTTTTTATCATTTGTAATAGCATCTTCAGTTTGCACCTGTGTTTCATTTTCATTAACAATTTGATTACTATTCGTATTTATTTTACATTGTATATCTTCATTCAGAGAAGTTAAAAGAATCTGTTCACTGTCATTAATTCCATCATTTTTATCACTTTCATGCATGGTATCAATTTGACCAAAACTTTGAAATTGTAAAAGTTGGTCACTCTCTTTGCATTCTAAAATTTTGGAACTTTGATTTTCGACTCCTGCATTTTCCACAAATTTAAGAAATCTTTCTGAACTATCATCATAATTTAACCTTTCGAAAACCTCGAAATTCGTTTCAACGTATTTATCAAAATCAGTTTGTGGATCTAACAAGATCTGATTCCCAACAAAATTTTTTTCTTCACTCTGTAATTCATATTGTGTATAATTTAGGTCAGTATGTATATCATCTCTTATATTTTGTTCATGTTGGACGTCTTCATTTACATTTTTAATACTGAAACACGTGTTCGTTATATTCTCAGAAATATCTGTATTTTCCTCCTTGTTTTCTAAGGCTTTTATGGTCTGTGCATTTGGTAACTTCTCTACTAAATTATTAATTAAAAATTCATAAAATTGTTCCCCTGTTTCTGTTTGTACTAAACGTAACATTGGTTCTTCTTGATTAGGATTATTTTCATCATTTGAATTTTCAGCAGCTTTCTCATCTTGTACTACATTTATTTCCTGCTGATTTTGAATGGTTAAATCAAGTTTATCATGCTCATTAATATTAGATTCTGATAAATCTATTTTTTGGAACATATCGGTAACATTTAAAGAAATATTTGTTGAGGTATTATAGTCTTGTAGTGTATCTGATTTCTGCAAATCTGGTTCATACATTTGTGTACATGACAAATATTCATGACTGTTCATAGATTTAGTACTTAGTTTGCTTTTCAGAACAGTATCATCCATTTGGCATACATATAGTATATTTTGAAGTACTTCATTATTAGCTATTAGTTTCTCAGAATCATTTAATTCATCAGGTAATGGAATTTTTTCATTTGTATTGCAAAAGTGTTCTTGTGTAACATGATTCTTAGTATTTTCAATGTTCTCTAGATTGATTTTCTTCAACTACACATGAAATAAAGTTACATATTGTAATCATATTAACATAAATATAATTGTAATCATATTATTTACCTGCTCTGATGTAATATAAATGACTGTTTCCAATGGTAATGCTTTTTTCATATTTTCCTCATTCTCAAGAAAATCAAAATTATTCTCATGATTTTTATGCTCCTCAAATTCGAAATTTTTCTGAAAATTCTGAACAATAAAAATGATCAGAAATATACATTCTTTTGAATGATATTCTAAGTCTTACCGTCTCATTATTCTTGCATTCCAAACTTGTTGCATTCTTTGAATGAGAGTTTTCATGTTCCCGCAAATGCAAAATTAGATTAAAACTTTCGCCACAAGTTTTACAATAATGTTTTCTTTTAACAATTTTTTGCTGAACAGATGCATTACCTTCAACAGACTATACGTTGCTAATGTAATATACACATGTACATGTCTTTTTATTCGTAAGTATTATATGGTACAATATTTCTTATTCACCTTATTTTTATTTACTATATGATCAATGTTGGTGTTAATATAATTAGTTTGTGTTTCAAGCACAGTATCTTTTTTGAATCTCTCATGAATACGTTTATGTCTTGCAAGAGAGCTAATTTGAGTAAAACGTTTACCGCAAATAGAGCATGGATATGGTTTTATCCCTACAAATTTAATTTCAGATAATTTTATAATTTTCATTCTCTCCTTCATAGTCAACTTCTTATATGAATAATATAATTACCAGCATGCATTCTACTATGCCTAATCAAATTAGATATATGGTTAAACTTCCTTCCACAAATTTCACAAATGCAAGTGTTGGTTCCTAAATGGATGTTCAAATGTGTTCGTAGATCTGCTTTTCGAAAGAAACCTTTGCCACAAATTTCACAGAGCTGTGACTTTTCACCTAAATGTATACTTCGATGATGATAATCATATTGAGAGGCTCGATCAAATGTTAAGTCACATTGCTGACACTTATAAGGTCTTGACACATTTTCGTGTAATTTATCATATAATTTTTCTTGACTAAGGTGTTCTAGTTCTGCATGTGAGTCGTCATTTAAGTCTCTCTTCAAAAATTGTATGTGCTTCAATAATCCATCCCCAGTATGATTGTGCAAATGATCAAACAATTCTTTTTTATTCATAAAAACAAAGTCACAAATTGGACAAACAAAATTCATAAATTGCATTTCTGTGACATCATTCCTATTACCCTCTTGTAAGTTTATACTGATTGACATATTTATATACTTAAACACACGGATTCACTTTCTTCTAGGAGCAATTTTATTGGTCTCATGTATAACAATTAATGTTGACAACAGTTCATATGAACACTCGTTTGTTTTATAACCATAATAACCTAATAACTTTTAATACATGTTATCGTCATACGTGTGTTAGTTTTTCTTGATATTATTATTTTCAATTTGCTGTATTAATTACGGCTTACAAGGTATAAATCATTTAACTTGTTCTTCGCGAAATACGTATTCATCAACTGCCATTAGTTACGGATATAGTTCATAATGGTTTAACTTCTTTCCTACTGTTAAATAAAATTTTCTATTGTTTTACATTATTATATATTTCAAATTTATTTGGCAAAAGCACAACACAGATCATCTTTTTACATATTTAAAAATCCATGTCATATATATAGATACCCAAAGAAAACAATGGATAAAGATGCGGGAAATTCAAGGTTGGTATTGTTACATCCAACATCACGGTTCCGAAGGAAACATACAGATCCTTGACTTTCGGGCACACCTGATCAAAAAATAAAGTCACAAGGAACCAGACCAGATTTATCAATAGGGTTACAGCTGATGATCGCTATCCTATTTCCTCAGATGAGATTCAAATTAATATATATAAAAGCGAGATATTTTTCGACCACTTATGAGGCTGTAACGCTATCACGTGAATTGGATAGGCACGGTATGACGGTAACGCCGGGCAAGGATAGCTACAGCTGCGTTCCGTGATGGAAGCTCATAAATTGAGAGGGAACTACGAACGGTTTAGCGAGAACATTATAGACACAGTATATTATTGTAAAACACTCAACGCGGACGACCGAGCTGAGAGGAAGTGGGAAACCAGAGAATTGTTATTTTCAGCTAGAATCATCTTTGGTCCTTACTTCAGCAAACCAGATATATTGTAAGGGGCCATAAATTCTTTTCCAAAGATTGAGACGGGCTACATTTGGTCCTCACTTCGGCAAACCAGATACATTGTAAGAGGCCATAAATTCTCTTCAAAAGGTTGTCACGTGTTACATCCGGTCCTCACTTCGGCGAATTCGATACATTGTTAGCTGTCGACGTGTTCGCTTTTACGAGAACATTGTGTGTTTCTCTGGGTCCCGCGCTTTCTCTCAGCATATGCGCATGGAATCGTTCGCGCATTAACCAGATCTCCTCCACCATTGGCCCAAGGAGACTCGGAAGGAGAAAACAGGACCAGGGAAGAGGGGATGCGAGCCGACAACGAGCGAGATTTACAACGAAAAAGCAGAACGATTTCAAACCTCGAAGTTTAACTACTTATAAACTCAGAAATAAAGCAGAAGTCAAAATTTCCACAACCAAAAGTATAAGTTTTATTTCACGCGCCATTCCACACTCCACAGGCACCTTACCCACGTAAAGTTCCCTAAATTTTCCCTAACCGCGAACGGCGTAACGCAACAAGGCCATTGGGTAAAACAGAAATGAGAAACTAAATGAAAAATATAGTAAAAGTTTAAAAGCGTAATAATATATATACATTTATCGAATGTTTCTGATGAACTGTTATTTAAACGTTCTGAATGCAAACTTCTAATCTTTTTATAAAAGATATAGTACTCATATTTCTGTAAAGACATTCAAATTTAAATGTTTGATAAATCCTTACTTAATATGAATTGAATCAATTGTAATGAAGTTAAATAGACACAGAAGATTATTACGAAGATGTTTTTCGTTTATTTTGATATTTCATAGAGATTTAGAATATATAGATATATAAATACAGACATCTTGTGTTATGGACATTTTTATTTATACTTCACGACAATTCTTACATCATTTTATTATTGTATTCAACATTATTGATAATTAATGAATTTTGAGTTGCTAATAGAAATTCGTATATAAGCAACTTTATATAATGTTCAATACAACAGGTAAAAGTAAGTATGGAAATAGTAACTTTTTGTGAGGGGAGTGTCACTAGAATGTCCGTGGGCACTGACTTAGACATCCTTGTTGTAAACAAGATATAACCTCTTCGTTTTATGTTCCGTGTTGTATTTGTCAATATAAAGAAAGTTTGATAAAAAATATTCAACAGTTTATTCGTACATTTAATTTTTTACATATATGGAATTTTTGTGATATGAAGTGTTGAAATGGAATTAAATATCTATATAAATCTTATAAATTCTTATTTTTCATTCATATAAAATAAGTGAATTTCGCAGCATCTATTAATCATCAATTTTATTACTTAAATAGATGCATCATTAACTACTTAAAAAATGGTAAAAAAAATACTAATTTTTACTTTATAGTAATTGTTAATACTAATTACTTTTACTGTATTACAATGTTAATATAATGTTTACTAAAAGTTCAATAAAATATTATAATATTCATTTTTTATAGGATGTACAAAGACATTCCGTACATACTCTTGTCTTCAGATCTTTAAAAAGAACCCATGATATGTTCTTGCTAAATCAAGGTACTTTACCACCAGTGGATCCTAATTTGTAAGTACATTTTGAATAATGAATACATAAACAACAAACATTCACATAATATGTTAATCTTTCATAGATTAAGGATGAAGAATTCTGTAAAAGCTAAAGATTGCTATGGTCCTATATTAGAACGAGTAAAATCAAATAATTTAGCAAAAATGCAAAATGAACCTGAAAATGCAGACCCTCCTCCACCTGGTGGTATGTATTTTAATTGTACATATTCATACGAATTTAATTATCATTAATAATAAAAATATGATTTTCAGATGAATCTTTTGGTGGAAGTAATACCACTGCAATGATACCTTATAATCCCATACACAATACAAATGGAGCTGTAACTCAAACAAATGCAGGAGGAAATACGCTTAATAATATTGTAATGATACCACAAAAAAAGACACCATCTATGGCTAAACCAAAATGGCACGCACCGTGGAAACTATATAGAGTTATCAGTGGCCATCTCGGTTGGGTACGGTGTTGTGCTGTTGAACCAGGAAATGAATGGTTTGCTACTGGTTCAGCAGATAGAGTAATTAAAGTAAGATTTTTCGTTTTGTTACACTTGGTTCTATTTTAATCTAAAAAATCAATAACCAATATTCTAAAAAATTAATCTAATCTAAAAATAGTATTCTTCCTCCCATTCTTTTCTTCTTTTTCTTTAGATTAATTATTCTCATTTTTAATTTACTTTACTTACCTTTCCAATTATTTTTATTCAATTATTTTAGATATGGGATCTTGCAAGTGGTAAACTGAAAGTTTCTTTGACTGGTCATATAAGCAGTGTTCGTGGATTAGCATTTTCTCAACGCCACCCATATTTATTTTCTTGTGGAGAAGATCGACAAGTGAAATGTTGGGATCTTGAATATAATAAGGTTAATAGCTAAATATATTTTAAATATGTGACACCCTATTTCTTCTAACTATAACTGCATTTTATGTACAGGTTATAAGGCATTATCACGGTCATTTATCAGCAGTATATTCAATAGCATTACATCCTAGTATAGATGTACTAGTAACTGCAGGTAGAGATTCAACTGCAAGAGTATGGGACATGCGAACTAAGGCAAATGTACACACGCTTGCAGGTCACACTAACACAGTTGCTAGTGTTATTTGTCAAGCTGTTGAACCACAGGTACTTTTCATTTTAATCTTTCAGTTTTCTTTTAAATGATAAAACTAAAGTACACTTTTTTTTATACTAGATTGTTACTGGAAGCCATGACTGTACCATAAGATTGTGGGATTTAGCTGCAGGAAAATCTAGAGCTACTTTAACAAATCATAAGAAAAGTGTAAGAGCTGTAACTTTCCATCCATCATTGTATGTATGTTTTTTCTCAAATATTTTACTACGTTAATGAATTCAAGTTTCTGCTCTTACTTATTTAATATGTACTGTTTATTAGGTACATGTTTGCCTCAGCATCTCCAGATAACATTAAACAGTGGAAATGTCCAGAAGGAAAATTTATACAAAATTTATCTGGTCACAATGCTATAGTTAATTGTTTGGCTGTAAATGCTGATGGTGTCCTAGTTTCTGGAGCAGATAATGGTACTATGCACCTTTGGGACTGGAGGACAGGGTAAAATTCATACAATTTCTGTATTATTTTATTTAAATTTTAGTATTATTTATGACAATTCTATTTATTTTAAGGTATAATTTTCAACGTTTACAAGCACCAGTTCAACCTGGTTCAATGGATAGTGAAGCTGGAGTATTTAGTATTACATTTGACATGTCTGGTACCAGAATGATTACAACAGAAGCTGATAAAACAATAAAAGTTTATAAAGAAGATGACACAGCTGTAAGAATAATTGACTTATCACAAATTATTTGTGCAATAATCAAACAGTGAAATTACATTCTTTTTCATCCATATTTTCAGACGGAAGAAACGCATCCCGTTAATTGGAGACCAGACATAATAAAACGAAGAAAATATTAAATGTTACAGTGTATAATAAATATTATTAATTTTGGAGAATTCATGAGTTGTAGCTTTTAATATGGAAAAAAATTAGTAGAATAATTTTAGTATTTTAAAGTTCTTCGTTTAAATCAAATTCCTCTTCTGGAAAATCTCCGACTTTTACATGCATTGGTTTTACAAATCCACCATATTTTGGTAAACACTCGAAATATTTTTTACCATTGACACTATAATAAAAAATATAAAATATTAAACGTGTATCTACATGAAATTGTAGAGAAATATACCATCAATTATAATCTTACGTTCCATCATTTTTACCAAGTGGTTCATCATATTTTACTCCAACCCACCAACCTTCTTTAAATTCTGTTTTACCTATAAATAAAACGAACTACATTCATTAACTATAAATGAATTGACACCAAACAATAAATAGAAATTAATCGCATTACTCACCAACATACATAATAGAAGCTCTTCGTGTTGGTTGGTTTGGTACAGAAACTTCACAACGATCACCAACGTGGCATAACTTAGCTGCTGCAGCTTCTGCTTCTTCTTCTTGTCTTTTCTCTTCTGCTTTTCTTTCCATTTTTTCCTTGTTATATTTTCCTAATTTATTTTTTTCTAAGAATGCTTTTACAGTGTCTACAATATGGAAAAATGATATAGACTCAAACAACTTATGTATATTACATTCATTATTTTCCCACTCTTTTAATGATAAATTTTTATAATGGTCATTGCTTTTTAGATTACTTGTTATGGAGAATAAATTATCATTTTATCAGAAAGTGAATGAGAAGTATAAAATGTATTAAAAACAGATTATATAAATATATATAATTACATATATATTTAAATTAATTTACCTGTCCTTTTAGCATATTCTTCTTCGGATATCTCAAACTTTTCAACATCATTCAAATTTTCTTCAGTACGTGAAAAATTATCAATTACCTAAAAATTATTACACATTTACATTATTATTACCTTTTATTAATAGATAATAAAATTTTGTGTACTAAAGGAAAATAACAAATTTATTTTACATGTATTCGCATTCCATCATCAATGGGATATGATCCCAAAAGTCGTTGACCATCATTCAATGTGCAAATTAATTTATCATTCTTATCAAAAACTTGAACTACCATTGTATTTGGATTACCACCGGTAACAAGCTCTAATTTACCCTATTATGAAATATTCAATTAATACATAATACCAAAAGCAATTAAACAATAGTGAAAATCATCTTAAAAATGTTCTTACCTTAAATTCATCTATTGTTATACCTTTTTGAAATCTTCGTTCTACATAATATTGTTGATTAGAATTAGTAATAGATAAATTTACAAAATCTGATGTTACTATGCTGTAATCGCTCATCTTTGCTTGAGTGAAAAGAAAAATATCGATTTGCTATTATTCGGCTTCCAAGTTATACGTTCCGTATACGATAAGGTTTTTTTAGGTTACAATCTTAAAACACAGATTTTATAAAATAATTTATTTATTGAAGAATATTAATTACAATACTTATGGTAGATATTATATTATTTTACGTGATTAAAATTACAAATAAGAAAATTATGTACATAATTTTGCGATAAATTATTTATATGGAATATTATCAACCTGATACCATGTAATACTTAATTACAGTCTAACAAGACATGATATAATAAAATGGAATTAAATAAAATTACTCATAGCGAGGCTTTCGTTTTTAATACATTAGTGTTGACAATTTGTTAAATTATATGTACTCGAGTCTCATTTAAATGTCTGTCTTAGTCTGGGTTATTTTTATTTGTATTAATATGTACAAACATTATTTATACTTTTTCCTATACTATAATACAGATTGAAAATTAGAAGATAAATCAATGGATAAGTTATAGCATGTTATTAATATTTATTATAGGCAAAAATGGTGACTAATATGT